TGTTGCATTTGTGCTTGTTGCATTTGTGCTTGTTGCATTTGTGCTTGCTGCATTTGTGCTTGTTGTATTTGTGCTTGTTGCATTTGCGCCTGCTGCTGCATGTGTGCCTGCTGTTGCTGCTGCATCTGTTGCATTTGCATTTGCTGGCAATCCATCGGCACCTGAGCTTGCAATGATCTTCAGCCAAGAGGTACCTCCCCACTAGTTGCCATGCCTTGCGCATGTTCAAGCATGATTGTCATCATGTAAACAAAACCAACTACCCTCCACAGGCCAAGCACTCCAGTCACCTCCAACCTGGGAAAAAGCCTTAGATGTTTCATGTCGAAAGGGGAATGCCTCCCTTCCTTCCTGCATTGGCCTAGATCGGTTCTTCGATTGCTGTCTGTTCTTTTTGTTTTGGTGTTGCATTTGGTCAACTTGCACAAAAGCGCCGTCCTGCATGCCCTGCATTTGAAGGACTGAATAGTCCTGACCTCAGCTGGTCAAGCAAGATCGAGTCTCAAACACACCATGCATATCCACGCATCAGCTTAGCAAAACAACCGGTAGGGGGTGGAATGATTTGTTTGAGGCAAGCCAACCTGTCATTTGGCGGTGCTGATCAAACGCTTGGAACAGGACATGAGATGTTGTGCAAACTAGCGTGTGTCCAAATGGTGTAGAAGATCTTGACGCGTCTTTTGTATGCGATCTTGAGGTGTCCAAGCAGTACAAGGTCCGTGTTTTTGGGAAGCCATTGGCCAACAATTCACGTGAGAAACACCATCGCTCTTAGGTTGGAGGCCATTGCTCTTAGGTTGGAGGCCATCGGCCATCGCTTCTAGGTTGGAGGCCATTGCTATTAGTTAAGTTTCCCTAAAATTTTAGGAAACAAATCATTGGTATGAGCGCTTCTTCAAGGAAGCTTCCCCGCCGCCAAGAAGACCGGCGAGGGGAGCTTCCTTGAAGAAGCATGAGATATCCTGCGTCCAGTCGGTAGTAGCGTTCTTGTAGCTACTACCTACCTAGCTACTACCTACCTCTACTCGCGGCCTACCTACCCCCACGCGAAAAAAATCCTGGCCTTGAGAAATCACAACCGAGCGTCTCATAGGCTGCACGCCCATATTACCACTAAAGGCTCCTCACAACATATGTTCATCACTGGACACAGCTCCCATCAGTTCAATCAACAGGAGTTTGAACTGAGTCTGATTCTTGTATCTTGCAAGATGTGATTCTTGCAATGTTTCAAAGATAAAGTTCAATGGTTCAAGATATGTGACTACATTTGTGTCAATCTTCCTTGGCCGATAAAAGTCTCATATTGTTCTCAACATCGGCGTTCAGTCACTGTCCTTGTTGCATGGGCATCCCTTGTCCCATTGGGGCCATGGGACCCATTGGATTGCCCATCGAGCCCATAGGAGTGGGCGCGCAGGGCGCGCAGGGCGCGCAGGGAGCGCAGGGAGCTGCGCAGGGCGCGCAGGGAGCTGCGCAGGGCGCGCATGGCATGCCATAGCCTCATAGGAGTGGCCGGTTCACGCGGAGCAGTCTCATGGACCTTGCATCTGAGAGGGTTCAATCCCGCACGCGTGCCCACCTTCGCATCTGGTTAAGGGCTGCAGAATAGCTAAAGGCTGTGCTCCAAATGAAAAGGACACGGTCCGTGTTTTCAGTCGGTTTTCTCCCAAGTCGGCATAGCTCGCCTTGAGGGGCAAAGCCTTGCATGCTTCACCTGGAGATTGAGAATCCGACACATAGAACCGGACGACGGGAACCTCTGTGTCTGTGTGAGCATGACACTGTATACCTCGTGAACACCGGGTTTCGTTGGAGTCGCAAACCGACCTGTCTGAAAGGAACATCGTGAAAGAACATCGTCCACAAAACCAAAAAACGATTCTTCCCAACAGCTCGCCCTGCGGTCGCCACCATGGTGACAGCCAAGCGCACAGGCCGCAAGGTGTGGCTTTTGAGGCGGTGAAAAGGATGGGCCAAGAAGATTGCTTCAGGTTGCTGAGAAACAATAACCAGAGTCAGTTGCAGGTCTGGGCATGTCTGGTATTGGTATCATTTCCTCACCAAGGATAGATTTCAAGAGATCTCACATCTCTCTGAATATGCTGCATGGCGCATCCCTCCTCTGTTTCCTCAGCTCTGAATGGGATCCTGTCAAGACACCTGTCAATTGCGGATCCTTTGGCTCAAGATTTCAAGACACCAGGCCTAAGGGCGATGGCCTCCAACCTAAAAGCAATGGCCTAATGGCAAGGGGGTATCCTACGGAGTCTGAGTGCTCTGAGTCTGTGGACCTTCTCATGAGTCCTATGGTCCTACAGCTGCAGCCAAGCGCGGAAGGGAGGCGCGGCGCTCCACCGCAAACACAGAAAAGCACGGGTCTCATCTGAAAGGCTACAGGACACTCAGAGTGGTGTGTCCTGTCTTTGTTCTGCGCACAACATGGGTGTGTCCTGAGTATCTTTGAGTCACAAAGCTGATTCGAACGCTGTGAAACAAGCACTCTTTGACAGCTCAACATGCTGAACTTCGGGGGGTTCGCACCGCTGTCGAGCTCGCCCGGTCTGCCTCTCCTGAAAGCGCCAGGCCAGGCGTTGTTGGAGTGATACAGTAATGAAGCAATGTGTCTCTGATCATTTCAGGTGCGGCACTGGGCATTTGTATGCATTTGTGCATTCGCTCGGTCAATAGAGCATGTTTTGAAGCAGCTTATTTCATACGATGGACTGAAACTGCTATTGCCTATTGCACGATGACGTTTCGCAGGTGTTCCATACACTGCAAGACCGGCAACAACTAGTTTAGTCATCTGGTGGTGTTTTGACTGGCTTTGCTAGCATGTCAAAGTAACTATATAAAACGCGCTGCTAGTAACAAGAACCTGCTAGGTTGGAGGCCATCGCGATTAGGTTGGAGGCCATTACTACTGGTACCTAGAAGCTACGAACGTAACAAGGGCATTACTAGTAACAAGAAGCTACTGTCAACATTTCAGAAGCATCGATCGAATTGAAGAAACCATGTCGTGGCCATCGATGTCTCCCAAGTCCGACTTGACATCCAGTCAAAACCTGTTTCCACGTTTTCAACGACATGAAGGTGCTGACACACATGGCGAAGCCGACGGCAACGATGCGCTCTCACACGCGCTGGTGACCACGTCTTACTCACCCATCCCAGGGCTCCATGTCAAATCCGCCCACGTGCACAGCGCCATTGCTGCAACACTGCTCGCCTGGCAAATGAGGCAGTGACTGAAGCAGTGCCTAGATAGCATCTGGATGAGCCTTGGGATGCTCCTACAACATCAACCAACCCGCCCGTCATACCACTTTCATCCGAATCCAACATCCGACGTGTTCATTCGCGGCGTCGTAATTTCGTATGTCCTTCTTTCTGTTGCGTGCCCCTCTTGGACCATGATCCTTTCGTGTAAAGCCGCAGCGTTCCTCCCTGGACCCGGCCTACGAAGCATTTGATGGCTGACCTTGGTGGAGACAGGACACAAGAAGGGACACAGAGCTCAGCCAAAAAAGAAAGTACAAGGAAACACAACATATATACACAGGATAGCTTCTTAATGGCATTATATACCTCATGAATTGATTGAAGATAGCGCAGGCCAAAAAAAAATAAAAACACCCAGAGGCCCAAAGGGGATGAGCTCCTTTATCAAGGGAGTCAGTCTCTGCGCATTTTGTCTGGTTCTTTGCTAAGGGCGGATTTGGCGGACGCTTCAGAGAATATCTTGAGGATTCCACAAACCGACCACACCTAAACTCAACTCATCCCAAAAACAGAAAATCATCGTGAACATCCAAAGGAAAAAGTTAAAGGTTTAATACTTTAATACCAAAGCTTGCGAACATCTTTGGTGAGCACGCCGGCACCGAAGAAGAACATCACTATGAACTCACAAAAGAATACCCTCAAACGGCCCTGTTTCATAAAACCCCCCCCCTTAGACTAGACGTGCTGGCCGCGGCCCAAGGGGCGTCTTGCCAGCGCCATTGTGACCCAACAGACCAAAGACCTGCCGTCTTCACGTCGCCGAACGAACGACCACGTGGGCGCTCGGAGGCGCTCGGCGCGGCCGAAGAACCGTGCGAGAGGCGCTCGGCCGAGCACGTCCCCTTTTGGTTTCGCAGGAAGAACAGTGCTCGGTCGGCAAGGCGAAGTGCAAAACGGATCAGAGTTTCGTCTATGCTTTCTGAAACTGCTTGGACCCCTTCCTTTGGCAGGATACGAGCAGATCAGACCAGTCAGATTGTCTCATTTTCAGGGCCCATGTAGCTTGACTGGGCAGGTTCGCGCAGAAGATGCTCTGCTCGAACACTTTAAAAAAATGTCGACACACTCAGTCATCTGAGTCTTCATGATCCGTACGCCAGCGGCTTTCCACCCGACTTGGGATTCAATAAGTTGAAGCACACGAACATGGGAGCACCTTCGGCTGGGGGCATGGCACATTGATCCCAGAAGCACAAGCGAGTGCTTACGGCTGAGCAAAGCTTTCCGCCCTCCATGGGCATCGCCAACTTCGTGCCGCCCTTGATGCAAAGCTCCTTGGTTTGCACCGCGAAGAAAGGCCGGCCGTTTGCTTGAGGTGCCGAGAAGCCCAGACCCATGCCTTAGACTTGCGAGAAGACCAAAACTTGGACCGACATGTCTATGTGCAAAACCAATACATCACTCATATACATTCATATACTACCTACTAACATCTACTAACCATGGCCTCCAACCTAATTAAGCAAATTGAGGATGCAGAAGATGTAGTAGAGCCAGAAGGTGTCGCCGAAGTTGGTGCTCCAATCGAAGAGTTGCTGTCCACTCCATCCATCATCACCGGCGAGCTTTTTGTTGAAGCACACGCAGATCGGGGAGCCGGGTGCCGGAGGGAGAGCGCATTGATCCGTGAGGCAAAGGCAAACACGGATGTTGGAGCAAAACGGATCGCCGATGTCAGTCATCTCGCCTGACATCTCTTCCATACGAGAAAAGAAAAGACACACCCAATGTGGACTCCTAGCGGGTCCTAGCGGCGAATTCAATCTATTTCTACTCAAGGACAAGAAATCGCAACCACACTCGACGCGTTGCGCGACAAATGGTCAAACTGGCAGCAACAAGACTCGAACAATGTCATCCGTGCGAACCAGTGGCACTTGGAGTGCAAGCAAATGTTGACTGCTTCTCCACCGAAGAAGGGATTGCCCACAGCACCGATGCCCACCCCTTCGCAGAAGCAATAGTTCAACCACCAAAGCTCGTTGAACATCTTGTCACGGTCCAGGTTGGGAGAGATGTCTGACTTGGCGATGTCAGGCATGCTGGGCCAATGCGGAGCTGCTAAGAATACAGCGAAGCAAAGTCGGGTGTGGGGAAAAGCTGAGCCGCCTTTTGGCTACAAAAGCGCGAGCGTAAACAACAAAGAGTGTTCTTGCATTGAACCTCTGAGCAGTCCGATTGGAAGCGTTGCATTTGTTTACTTCTGAATCTTAGTTACAAACTGCACAGCGATCAAGAATGTCAATCCGAATTTCGTCCCAATCCCTGCCTCGCCCGAATGGATGGCGAAGGACACGCCTTCACGAAACCCAAAATACAATCCAATACAATGCACACATACATTCCAACTGACAGGTTCTGACTCGAAGCTTGTGACTAGAATTGAAAAGGTCCTTTTGAAAGGGGTCACTTGTCTGGGGATATGTGGGTTTTAGATAGAAAAAGACCTGACAATCGGGCCAAAACATCCAGCATTCTTCATTTTAACTTCAAGCATCACATCAAGCAACCATATGGTCAGCAGGTGCATTGGCTGACGGAGAGCACGTGAGAATTAACTTGTGCACACCATTTCCGTGAATTATACTGAGGATTGTTCGCTTCGTGCAAGACCAGCACATTCCTTTTGTAAATTGCAAATCTCAACACGATCTTTGGTTTGCTACAACTTCCCAATTCAGGTTTCATTTGGAAGATATAGAAGGAATCGAACAAGTGCAACCAGCTTGTAAATGCAGAACAGCCCTCAGATCTTACATCCCCGAAGAACTGCCAAAATGCCCCATTTGTTGGGCATTCGGCGTATTTCACCTTTGGCTGATGCCACCAGGCTGATCAGATGTGCACACGGCTTGCCGAGTGGGTTTCAGGGTGCGTCGGGAAGGCATGCGTGTTGAGCTTGGGCATTCGGTCGACCCATACGTGAGTCATCAAGACCTCAACCAGAGACTCTTCAGAAGGCATGATTTTTCGACACCACCATGGCCGAACGAGATTCCATGCTGCCCATCCATCTAGCTTTCTACACGGACACTTAAGGCATCACTTGGCCTCACAGGGCTGGTTCTTCCGGTAGAAACAAGACAAATCCGTCTCATCTGATCCACCATCCTACTGCATCAGACTCGCAAGTGCCGCGGTAGGCTCTACTTCCGAAGGAGGCAAGATGTGAAGGCCTGCGACCGGACACTCCGGACGGCGGACGCTCCGGACGGCACACCGACTCTTTAGGTCTCTCAAGCCGGGGCTTTTGGGTGGGGGGACAAATGCTGTTCGTCTTTGGCTGTAATTAAAAAGTTTGGATTGATCAGTGAGTCAATGACACAAGAGAGTGAGAGTCAGTCAGAGTCAGTGCGGGTTGGCCATGGAGACTTTGAGTCTATCGTCCAGCCTCATAAGCCACGGCGACGATCTCAGAAACACACTCTTGCCAATAGGACTCTGCCCTGATGCGCAGCGCGTGATGAAAGATCATCAAAAGGGACGGACAAGCACGTTCGGCACACAAAACAAACTTGAAAATCAATCTTGTGGATTCAGTCTTTTATTGGATCGTGCAGGCAGTTCTTCGTTGGGAATAAAATATGTTCAAGTACTTCCCATTGTCACACCCCACGACATCTCAGACGACGTACGGTATCCAAATTCCTCCTCCAGCAGTGTAGCGAAAGATGATCTCAGCTAACTCGAGTCTTTTAAGATGATCTCAGCACTTGAGCGACCGGCAAAACCTCCCAGCAAACTGGGTTCGCCTCTAGCTCACTTGCTCACCGAAGACTCATGGACATGCAACCATGTGTCTGTGTCGGTGTCAATGCGATCAAGACCGAACATGGAGTCTGTGCTCTTTTCAACCAGGAACATCATGTTCGCTTCGTCAGGTGCGCTTCTCCCTCAGGGACGGATGGGTACACCTATCTGGTGCCCAAATGCGGAACCGAAATTCGTCCGTCCGCCTTGGCTCTGTGCCTGGCCGAAGAGCGAAGAGCGAAGCGATCGGCTCATCTTCCGGCCCCAGGCGATCGGACGAAGGGGGGTCGACGACGGAAGCGATCGGGTGGGAGGCCATCGCTATAAAGTAACCAGGGCATCGCTACGAACGTAGCAAGGACGCTACGAACGTAGCTCCTGGCATGATTACTTTAGTATATAGCAAGAAGCTAGGAACGGTTGGAGGCACAGAGCATGACAGTTTGACCAAGCTCGTTCTGGGCGACCAAGTTCGTTCGTTTTTCTGCATTTCTTGAGGGCCGCATCTCGGCGATGGGGAGATGCATCTGATTTCATCGATTCCTTCGTCTGTTCGATACCTTTCTTGGCCCCATTTAGGTTGATTTCCTCACCGGCTCAAAACAGAACAAAAAAAAGACACAGATCGGCTGATTCCGGCGACCTCTGCACAGTTCTGCAGCATGACACCAGCCCAGCCTTTCTCCTTCTCCTCCGCTTCCGGCATTGGCTCTGGCTCCTGCACTTGCCGACATTGCCACAAAAAGGGTAGAGAGTGGAACTATGGCCTATCGGAGCCTCTCAGCATCCACACAGCTGTGAGCCTGCAAACCTTGTCCCAATACAACAAATTTTGGACTCAAGACCTCACAAGTCTTGCAGAAAACACCACCTCCATCAGCAGGAGGCCCGATTCAACCAGGCCACTTTTGCTGTAGGAGACATGTTCGATGTTAAGTATCTCACAATATCTTACCACTTGTGGGATGTTTGTACATTAGATTCATTTTGCGTGTATACTGCCGAGAAACTCCGGCAACAGCAACCCCCCTCAAAAGAAAACATTCGTTCAATCGTTCAAACCTCCTCATCCGCATTGGAGACATGGGCAATGGCCACGATGATACTCCTCAGCAAAGATCTAAGTTCGGGTGACAATGAATCAAATTCTTGCTTTGGTGCGGCGGCCTCCCTTTATTTTGGAGGCATTGTGGCGCCACGCACTTTCCAAATGCTTCAAGAAGTAGGCCGGCAACACCCTTTTTGCCACTCCCAGTGTCATAAAACCCGACCAAACACCTTCCAGAACCTTCCATAACCTTCCCAACACCTCCACATCCCTTCTCTTCATCGGAAGGACTGCACGATCCACGCAGATCCTGCCGGGTCTGCCGTGCCGTGCTCCGTCTGCCGTCTGGGCATCCCATCTCCCGGTGGCGGCGTGCGGCGGTCTCCACGGCTCGCTGCACGACATCCAGGTGCTCCAGGACCTGCAGATGTTCGGTTCAAAGAAGAGGTCGAAGGGGTCTTTTCGGGAAAAAGGAAAACAAGAAGAAACACGAAATCTTACAAAGCAAAAACACAAAAAGAATCAAGAACACCCATGGTTCGCTTGGTTAAGAGTAGAAACCATTGTTCTTACTTGGGCACTTTGCTCTCTTGCGGAGTGCCTTTCACCATACATCGGTTCCTATTGCTTCTAGCTCACACGGCTTTCTGAAGGGCTGTATGCACTGTATGCAAGCTAACATATCTATAGATATACATCGCGCTGAACAATTGAAGGCAAGGTGTGGGTGAGGAAAGATTGGCAAACACAGCATGCGCGAGACAATTCAATTTCGCATATTGCACATACTGGCCGCTGCATGTTGAAAGGAGGAAGCATGTTGAATGCGCTGGTGGTATATAGCGTGAGGTAGTTCCATCTTCCACTCTCGCAATCTTCGTACAACTCACTTTTGTCAGAGGGGCGGCTGTAACTTGACGGCCTCATTTGGCGCATGTTGTCGTCCGACGCCAACACCTGCCGCCTGTGGCTGGTGATGCTGTTAGATCGTTCTTTTTTGCCCAGAAGCTCCGTAATTAGATGCAAAGGGTCTAAAATTTAGAGGTTCAAAATTATTGAAGCACCTGAAATGGCGTTGATCAAAACAAGTAAATATATATATATGTATAATATAAATATATATATATATAATATATAAATGTATATATAATATAAATATATATATATATTATGTTGTTGGACCGAGAACAACGGTAGCAGGTAGCCTGATTCCGGAGCTCTGTGTTCAGGCAAACCGACGAAAGTCCTTCATCAACATGGCGCATGTTGTCGTCAAAGAGTCCAGGCTTGGAGGAGGAGAGAGTACTTGGAATGCGCTGGGGATTTGAGATAACCATCCTCCAAATCTTTTGCACCCAGGCTTCTACTCGCCTCCAAGACTTCTGCAGCACGGATTAAGCTGGCTCGCCGTCGCCTTTCAGATCTGTGAGCAAGACACTGGGTATGTGTTTGACTGTCAGCCTTGTGGTGATAGACATCATCGGTACTATGATGCACGATGTAGTTCCCAAAGCTGTTTACATCTCTAAGCATTCTAGTCCAGATGTGCCACTATCTACTTCCCACCTAAACTCGCCAATGGCGAGTCGTGAGCGACAGTTTTTTCCGCTCAGCCGCCGCCGGGGCCTTTGTGCTCGTGCGAGAGAGCGTCGGACCTGGTTGCTGTGGGCTCCAACCTACTAGCGATGGCCTCCAACATAGAAGATCTCAAACACTCGCATCTTCCACAGCACTGCAAGCAGTATTTGCCTGAGCTGCTAGTGCTGGACGTATCTCCTCCAAGGCATTGAGGGTTTTCCCAACGTAACAAGCGGCTGATCTGGTACTTTCGACAAACCAATCTCTATGGATCCGCAATGATCAAAAAACCCTCTGAGAGGGTGATTTCAACACCGTGTATACGGAGGCACTTCGATTGGTAGGGAATGTGACACTATGAATCTGACCTGATAGCAAAAGGAACCTAAAAGCGATGGCCTCCAACCTAGGGACTGCGACAGCATGAATCTTTAGACCCTCTGCAAGGGCCTGTTCCTGTACCTTTGCAATTCCTCGACAAAGGAGATTGATGACAGCAGATTGGGTTGATGAACACCGATGTTTTCCATTTCCTTCAGCCATGAAGGAAAGAGTGCAAACATACTGCTGATCTTAAGAGTCTAGACTCAAAGACCTGGATCCAGAAACGGTTTGTGCCCTCCTGCGGTGCTGAGCTCAAAGACCTTGTCCCAACATGTCTGCAAATGTTGTCTAAAGTAAGTGAAGAATCAAACTGGCAAATTCATGTTTCAATTCGTTGTTTTGCGAAGGCGTGCAACAATTCATGAAAGTTCATCAAAGGTCACAAGGACATCAACTGCTACTTCAACGAAGGCGTGCTGCAATGCGGTCGACAAGTGAGGGACGGCTGTGTCGACAGCCCTGGAGATGCCGCTGCCTGCAACAGGGACTT